AGAAGATTATCACTAAATTTTTTTTATTATTGTGCATCTCAAAATTATCATATCATCATCTCATTGTCGTCGTATCATCACCACATGAATATGATTTCATTATGATCAGAACATTATTATAATCGGAATATTATCGACTCCTGCCTTGTTTCACTGGTGACTGATCTCAAGGAGGGTCATATCTGATCCCTCTCCACGATGTCACGCTCTCACTTGCAGTCGGAACTGACGTCACTAATGATTGGCAGGGGTAGGTCTGTTCCGTCTCGACGAGATCGTTCCGTTGCGGGAATGCCTTGGAACAAAACCAAGCACGCTCCGCGCGTAGCACTGCCAAGAATGGGGGGCTCCGTGCCAAGGCGTATCCGGTTGGAATTAACGGCGAACCGTTGCTTCCGACTCTCTGGCCTGGGGCGCCAAGCCGACGAATGCCGCGTCCAACGTTTTGCTCACGAGTGTTCTCCGAAAACTTGGTGGCGATACAAATCTATGAATGATTCCAGAAAATAGAAATGCCGATTCAGTGTGGCATCTGCCAAGAGCCGGGCAGCTAGCATTTAGGAACGCGAATGCAATAACTTAATTCGAAGGACTTGACAGAATTAAGAGAGCTGAAGGTTATTGAGACAACCGGACATAAATATTCGTTATATACGATGAACCATCAGGTATTCGCCTCAATCCCTGTATTACGTCGTATCTTCAAGCGCTCCGAACGGATTATGTGAAAGTGACCGTGTTTTTCTCGTGTGTTGGGTGTTCTGTGAAAGTGATCAATCCGGATTAAGTGCCTCTTTGGAAACTAACGGTATGCACCAGAAATGTGACACGGAGTGATCCATCTCTCCTCCCCCCCTACACCACGCCGGCGACTTGATGAGTGCTATTCTCTAGTTCATCCTTTTAAACCCAAACGACGATGCTCGCAGTATCAGACGGACGGTATCAGCACGAGAAGTCGCAACGTGAGGAGTCGGGCGCCGTTCCGACGTCCTCGGGATACATCATCCAAGTGTCGAATCCTCGCTCGGTGCTCCAAGTGCAATGAGGCTTAAATGAGGAGATGTGGTGGGGAAGACCGCCGTATGAGCAATCCTCCGAGCGGTACATGACAACTCGATGCCGAAAAACTTGACGCGGAAACAGCTCACTGCCGGACAACTATATGCCGGGAGGATCGGCCCGCGCCGAATATGAGCTTCGGAGTTCTGGAGCCCCTTCCCCCTGGATCATCGCGGGCTTCATTCTTCACCCTCCCTGACGTCTTCAGCAAATCCGGTAGCGGGGAGTCTCGAGGCGACAGAATTTCAAGACGGCCGGAAGTTGACTCCTCCAGGAGAGTACCCTACCGCGCCGAGGAGCATACATTGCTGTGAATTGACTGCATATACATATATAGGGTAGTAGATTATTATCAGTCACCAATTTGAAACATCGAAATCCCTATGCGATACTATGGCATTGGGGGGCGCGGAGCCATTTTCCAAGAGACACAATCGGAGATCTTGCTCACGAAAAGTATGCAGGGATTTAATGATTTGGTGCGTGATGTGGAACACAACTTCTGGAATGATCGGGATGGCTACCTACCCCAGAAGAACCAAGTGAGCGCCCTCAAGCAGCTCATGAGGGCTCAGGACCCGGCAAGTATCGATGCGACACAACAAGCCATGCATCGCCCATTTCTGTATAGAGAGTCGCTCAAGACCCAGCGCTTCTCTTTGACTTCGAAGATAACTGACGGGAAATGGCGCTTTCATTGCTGAAAACTCTGCCAGGAATGAACTCACTCAGTCAGCTGTCATCCTTCGATTAGCTGTAGTATGCGCTCTACAGATGGATTTCAGTCAGCCGTCGCTGTCTCTCTCCAGATTGAGATGTGTGGGTCAGGAAGAAGTGGAACAGCAATAGGATCGACTGACGTCACTGACATGACACGGTGATGCTGGAGGCAACGAATCCCTTCCAAGCTCTAACTGCCGAGTGACGGTTCGAATCCGAATTGCCAGATTCACAATTTACGGAACGACTTTCTCGAGCCTTATATCCTGATCAGAGGCTCGAACTTGTATGTGGGAGAGTTCATCCAGCATTGAGTCGTCTCGGCATCGAGTTGTCTGTGTCCGTCCGTCAAGGGTTTATCATCTTTCATTGTACGATTCTTCGGTCTAACACAGTCCGCGGAAGCCGGGGTTACTCAGCAGCGGTTTCCATAAGCGGGATCTGCTTGTTCATCCGTTTTCAATTCGATCGGGTCGATATTAGAAAAACAAATCAAGGCAATCCAAGACGCGTCACGTCTCGAGTGCAACTGAATACTATTCGAGAGTCGCGAATGTCTCTGAATACAGCTGAAGCTGGACTCTGGTGCCTCAGCTATCATGCCTCTGCGGTCATAACACCGGTCCGAATATAACTGAGCTCAAACGTGATTGCCTGACTCATCCCGAATGATATACAGTAAAAGCTCGTTACTACGAACACGAAGGGACCGACGAAACTGATTCGTTGTACCGAGTTTTCGCTGTAAGGGATGCTGCTCAACACTAACCCTATGGCGAGCTGGCCAAAGGAGGAGAAATTCCTTGTTCGTTGTACCGAGAAATTCGTTGTAATGGGGGTCGTTATAACGAGATTTTACTGTATATACATAAGTCCGCGTCTGAGATCCGTTCGACAAATGGAAACGCGAAGAAAACTTGTAGCATGGAGAAGAAATGCGCAGGAGCGGGATTGACTCCGCGATGTTTCTATTGAGGGTGCGTCATGCGGAGCTCTCACGCGATAAGGACAACTCTGTCGAGCCGTCTTTGATCGAGACGGAGTCGTTAGCGAGAAACTCGTGGATCAGAATCTTGAGGAGCTGCGTTCTCGCAAAGCGCTCGGAGCCCTCTATCGGAGGACGAGCAGGAGATTCCGATGAGCGAAGGTTCGGGGGCGATGTGTCTGAGTGAGAATCCGGCGAAGTCTCTTGCGTTCGATAACGCGTCGGAGAGCACCGGGAAAGGCTCTGATGACAGTCGGCTTTGGGTCTGCAGAGAGGGTTTCGGCTGGATCGTCGTCCGCAGATGTCTCATCGAACCAGAGCACTCGAGAGAGTATAGCATCAGGAATAATGTCATCCTTGGGATCCGTCAACCGCTTAACTGCCTCCTCGATTCGACGCAGATCGAACCCTCACATTGTGGCGCTCCACGGCCCTCGGTCGGAAAGCCAGGGAACACTCATAAATTCCGCGGAGGATGCGAGTCGATTTTCCCTTGGAAATCGCCATTCCCGATCCCCAAACTCGTCGTGAGCGAATTCTTATGTCTCACGATACATCGGCAGCCATGAGCTGCCATTGCAAGGCTAACATCGTGCTTCTATTTTCACCGTCTCTTTCTGCTCACGCTCGACACGGCATGGCAGTCTGATTGCGTCAGACAGGGTCTTTATCGAGCCTGAAGATCGTGGATTGTTTTCTGCGCAGCCTTCTGCTGATGTCGATCATTTCGGTCGTACACCACTAGTTCTCGTCCATGGGTGTGGTCTCACCAGAAAGCTATGTTCCGATAAACTAAAGCGTGAAATCGCCAAAAGAAACATTGTTTGGCTCAGAATGACCTAATCCGAAGTCTCGAGCGTCGCTCATAACATCGTATAAGCTCGGAGCCCGACTTCGACCGGACCTTTCGGTCAGTCGACGCCGACAAATGAGCGGGATTCTCTATATGCAAGAATGTAATCCGATGAAGTCGCGGGGGATACATGAAGAACTGAACTGAGGGTCACGCGAGGGGTTCGCGAATTACTGTGCACCGCAGCATACCCTGGAAACATGCGCAGGAGACATGCTCCGAAGCCCCCGGTGCATAGAATGACGCTGACGACTGCGATGAGCGATCCGACGCTAGAATCTAGAACCGTATTCCTCTCTGAATCGATCGCGGAAGTCGTCCGACGGTCGATCGTGCTAGTGGGTATTAAGGCTCGGGAATCGATTTAGATTGGTGCATTGCAGCTCCGGCTGGAGGATGGCGAGGCATTCCATGACATTCACGACGGGAATGAATAGTGAATAAATAGTGAAAGGACGGGGCATGGTCATATCGTTGATATGATCAACGAAGTCTCTCTTAGCACTCATGCTCACCCATAAACTATCGTGTACGCAGATCCGGATTCATTCGTGGAGACAGGGGAGCTCGAAAGGGCTGACACCCTCTCGTGCGAAAATCGACATGTGATCCCTCCGCACCATTCCACCCGCCAGGTTGACCGTGGGATAAAATAAGTGTTCCTTCCAATGCCGCGTTCTTTCTCGTGGGGAGGCACTGTCCGATAGACTGACACGTTTCGAATCAGGAGGGCACCGGCACTTCCCTAATATTCCACTCTATCAGGGGGAACCGAGTTATGTAGATGTCGCGATGAAAAAATGAACGAGTGCAATCCGATTTTTGATAGACAATGGTAATAATGATAATATTGATCTTCATGATTAATGATAATCGGGTGGCGAACAGAAAGGTTGGGGAGATTGATGGACGAATATACAGCCATGCGATGACGAAGTAAACGACTCATTCGGGGAACCAGGAGTTAATCCTCGAGAGCTCCCCTCAGTAGGGAAGGCAATAAGATTATCATGAAGGTATTCTGACTCGGGTCAAATCGCGTTCAAAGGTTGTCTCGATAAGCCTGCGGATCAGCTCGCGAAGACCGCACGGTTCTCTTTCGCGGAGCTTCATCTTGAATTCTTGTGAAGTCAGTCTTCCATCGTCTGTATCCTCTCATGGTAAAAAAAATAGAACACCTCCTTCATTCGGGAATCTACCGGCCGTCAATGTCGACCGCAGAATCCAAAGAAACTTCATGTACATACATATATGTACCACCATCGCCGCGTTTTCAATGAACTAAAAATCCTCTGATGTAATGAGTCATGAGCGACATTTTAATGTATTTCTGGACAACGACCCCAACTATTTCTCTGACCTTATCCTCCCTGGTTGCAGTGCATCCATGTCGTGGAGTTCTTCGCCTACACCTACCTGCTTACTGCCTACTTCTTGATCCACTGGGACACTGTGCCAAGGAGCACCAATGTTTGGTGTAAGTCCCCAATGAACTCTTCTTATACATCTGCAGTAATATCCTTTCCAAACAACACCGGCTGCTCGTCGTCCGTACCGTTTGTTTTCACGATTATCGGGTTGTGCTCTGTAACGACCGGATACACCCCGAGAAAAATTATTGATAATTATTACTCATGGATACAAGAGGCATCTGCGCTCGAGGATTCTTAACGAGCTCAGGCTGACTTAGATAATTATCAGTCGTGCAAACGAGAGCGAAATCTTCTTTCTTCAGGGAACGTTGTTTACCCCAGCGTTCTGATTATTCACACCATAATGCAGTGCTCTTTCGCTGTCCTTCTGATCATCGGAGCCATCAGGGTGAGTCTCATTTTAGATCTGGTATCGAGCCAGACCGCGAAACACAGGATGATGAGGCAATGGAATTCCTCATGACCAGTCTCAAGGTCCCGCTGTTTGGCCAATGCTCGCGTTCAAAAGCGGAACAAGAGAAACGCGTTTCTTCGATTTCCAGAAAAAGAAGTCATACATGCTACCGTGGATCATCGCTGAGTGCGTTGAGATCCTCCTCCTCGCCAAGGCTTCCATCGTCCTCGCCGCTACTTCCGTAAGATCCAAATTAGATCGTCGACGACACCAGCAACATCGACAACAAGAACAACAACGAGAACAACAGCCACAGCTACAACAGAAAAGAACAACGACATTGGAAGGCTCACATCAGTCGCACCGCTGAAGAGCGTCACATCGATACACAGCCGCTCCAGGGAGAATCAGGACGCTTTTCGGTTGCCAAGCACTCACAAACAACGAGAATCTTTCAAGTCCATTGACGGAAACCAACTAATCATTAAGCATCATTATTGGACTCCTGCCATGCGTGACATATGAAAGCGTGGCTTGGACGCTCCCTCCTGATTCCATGCCCATTCGCGATAGAATTCTCTCAACGCGGTGGCCTGCACCGGATCGAGTTCCTAACTTCTTCTGGGCTCTCTCTATCAATGGATTGTTCCCGTCTCGAGAACTAACACCGCCCCCCCCCACTAGCGTATTAACTGGATAACCAGCACATGGTAAAACTATTCGGGAGACCAGGCCCATATCTGAGGGCTCTCGAGATGGATCGAACAGATCACTCAGCATCAACAGGGTAATATATGTATTGCTCTCACCTCCGAAGACGATCAACATTCTGGATGAGCAGCTCGTATCTGAGAACGATTTTGATCCGAAGATATCGTTCGAGGGGGTCAAAGAGTCCCATTTCTCAATGACTCGTGTACTCAATTGCTGTGACGCCGTGATTGCCGGGAGTGGGTCCTAGGACTCGATTCCGACGTGAATCGAAGCTAGCCGAGAGTCACTTCCTCCGAATCCGACCTCAGCGACATATAAAAACTAATGAATCGTCGTCGTGGGACGCTCATGTGCAAACAATTGTCTGAAACACAAGAAAAACAGTGTGTGAATATGTTATGCAGGACGAAGTATAGGACGCGCCGGGTCAGGAATATTTTAGCCTGTACCACTAAGGAGTTTGAGACGGATTCGAGATGATCCGATTTCTCTGATCTCGTTCGTCAGTTCCTTGGCGCTGCCTATGTAATTGAATATTGAATATTCAACCGTGTGGTGCGTTTTTCAAGACTGAGAAATTGTAAAGTCACTCGGACTCGGCGTGTCCTATCTCATGTCGCTAGCTTTCGAAGTTTCTAAACCGTAGCTCTTTCAGGATGCCGCTAGCGTATGGATCATTGCTACCACTGTTGCTTTCATGAGCGTTCAGGTATGATCTTAGAGTTTCCCAAGTATTTACAAGACGAATGAGAACACGTTACGGGCGATACAGAAACACAGACGGTAAAGTCGCTCAAAGCCCGATATTCGAACGCTCCGTGCGCGAAACCGGCTCGGTTGGAACAACCTCGAAGAGATCTAACTAAGTTTCATGTATCGAGATCTCTCTTGAATCGACCCATCCCTCTCCGTGAGTCGAAGTCTTCGCAAAGTAAAGTCTCCCGTTTCAATGCAGGTCTTCTACGTCATCATCGCCGCTCGTCTCTACCGTCGCTACAAGCGCGAGGAACTCGAGGTCCAGCCCCCTGCGTACCCTACTGACGTGAAACAGCCTCCCTCCCCTTCTTCGTCCATGTCCAACTATTTGTACAAGGTCTGAGAACCTTCTGAAGGAAGCACGCTCTGTTCATCGCTCCCTCCCGCGGGCGTCGCGTCAAAGTTTGCCCTGGTGCTGCATTCGCTGTTGAAGAGAGAGCCGATCGATCGATCGCTCGGACGAGACACGGAAGGTATCACGGAGGAGTCGTCAATCCAGAACGTATTAAGCTCAACACTCATTTGCCGAACGGGGAGGAGCGAGAGCGGAGTCAGCACTCCAGCACTGTAAATAGTCCTCATTTAAGAGTTTAGAGAGATCGATTGTGGCCATCAGTTGCACTCACGTAACAATGTACATAGAGCCATTGGCCATTCGTCGTATGCGAGAGCTTTTCGATCCTTCCGCTTGAACTTCGGAATATCTTCTCAATTTCATTCCTTCGTCCCTTCGAGACTCGGAATATCTAGTCCATGCTGGAGGATCGAAGCGAATTCTCGCGTCATTTCGAGTGTAGAGTTCGAACCAGGGAGGTGTGTATGCTCTGATTGTGGAATGTGGATTCTCTGCTTGTATCTTGATAGAAAATCGAAGAGTTCACGATCCGAGGCCCCCTTGATCGTAGGGAAGATCTGGGAGTGGAGCTCATGAGATCAACTATCAGGACACCATCGAATGCCTTCGGATTTGAATCCTTGCTCAGCGTAGCCATATCTGAGAATTTTTCATGTAAATAACCATATTCCAGGATGAGTGAGAGCGAAAGATATTAACGGTGTGAATCCTGAGATGGATGGTCATATAAAGATTTTCGAGATGGTTTCCATGTGTGTTCAGATAGATAACATGCTCTACAACAATCATTGCAGCAATCATATTGGTTGTGATAATAAATACGATTGTAATTGGCTTTTTTACACGTCTGTGGTCATTTTCCTTCGAAATCGGAAATTCTGAAGTTCTCTCGCTACATACTTCGATCGAGCTACTCATGTTCCCCGTTTCCTCCGTTATCTTTCTTTCATTTCATATTCTCCACCAGTCCATTCGGAGGAAGACGTCGGAGCTCACATCAAGAGGCGACCTCTAGGTGGATAAGGGCATCCAGCAGGGGGTCAAATTGATTTTGGTGCCGAATGCCACCGAGGGCCGAGGGCGGTCGATACTCGAGCCATCAGCTCCTCGCCACTCCCACATCCAGCTCTCGAATTCGCAAGAGCGAAGACGAACGACGATGTGGAAAACGCTAGAATAAGAATAACGCAGTGCGATCAATCCTTATTCGAGGGTCGGCATATCAAGATGTCCGAAATTCAGGATTTCTAATATTCCCTCCAGCAAACGCCAACCTACTCAACAGGAGCGATGGCACGCCCAAGCGGATGTTCCGTCCCTGAGAGATTCACGCGAGGAGGATCTCGGCAATTTTGAGTCCCTTGTCGTTCAACATCGCTCCACGACTCGAGTCTCTCGTTCTGAGAGCGACCGGAAAGATTGGATGGGTTTCCATCGAGGGATACAGAATGATGTCATTCCCACTCTGAGCGCAGTCATCCCGGGCGGAAATTCCCGCAGATGGGCTTCCCATCTCTACTCGAAGACTCGAGAGTCGAGACAATGAAAGCAGGAGAAGCTCGGATTGGGATCAGATATTTCGACGGAACCACGCCCAACCATGGATGGCCGACAGCCACGGCGAGGATAGACGGTCCAGCCGGACTAAACCCAAGGCGTCTTGCCGGGAATCCAGATGGAACGATGTCGCTTCTCCGACTTCTACACCAAGCCTAAGATCCTTAAACCGACCAGTGAGGAGAACTCGATGATGGCTCGAAGAAATAGTCTCGCCGTCCGAGCCCGTTAGAGTTAGACCTCAGCAGAGTATTAGCCTCATGGGCGCTCACTCAAGCTGGAATGCTGTTGAAGTCAGAAGACGCAAGCCAATGCGAGGAAGCACAGATGCCAGATAGAGGCAGGCGTTACAGTGAAGCGCTGGGAGAACGCGCCTAACCCGAGCCGTGCTCCCGGTGAATCTTGAGATGTCTCCGCCGCCGCCTCACAGATCCTCCTCATCCATCGTTGTCCCGAACGATGGGTTCCCTGTCGGTGAGTAAAGCTCTGATATGAAAAGGTATTCGACAGTTTCGCGCACTGATGCTCCCAGGGCAACTGAGGGCCCGAACGACTTCAGCATTGCTCTGATGCAATGCGAGCCCTAGATGATGATGTTGATGAAGCAGGAATTGAAATTGCTAACTTCACGGTCGGTCACCATGGACCTCAGCGCTCGTGTTCTTGACCAAGAGATATTATAACAATAGAACAGATCGAGCGAGAAGAGAACATCTCAATATTTATATCGATTCCGGAGAACTCTCTCAGAGGTTCTGGCTGCAGCGAGACAAATGCTGTCTCTCCACCGGGCCTTGACCGCATCCTCTCCTTTCTCTTCGTCTCCGAGTTGGCTCTGATGCCGGTCGGGAATGCTGCGAGAGCTGAGGCCTCGCCTTCCAATGGCCGTTGTTTGTGTAGTGGTTGGTGAGAAATCAGCTGAAATCTCGGGAATTGTTGGAGTATCCCCACGTGATTGAGAGTATATGCATCTCCGGGAAGTATCTCGAAAATGCCGGCGACTTTCCGAAGCTATAAAGGATGCACTTACTTGGGTTCCATACGTTTCGAGACCTATCATACCTTGGCAATGTTACCATGGCTAGTGGCTGAACTGCGCTTGAGTAGAGGAGGCAGCGTTCATCAAATCTCGATTGAGGTGAGCGGGTTGCGATGTAACACTGACTAATCACAGTGTCCAATATGAGTTCCTGGTCTTCCGGAGCCGTGAAAGATGAAGAGAGCGCAGAATCCGCTCACTCGAGCCCATCCGTGTCCTTCGCAACGGCGCAAGCTATCCCTCGTTTATCGAAAGAAGGGTTGAGCAGTCACCTCAACGGCAAAGACAATTTTCTGGAGCACTTGAGCTCCAGCCATCATCGTACTCGAAGCAGGGTCCTCGCGTGTGAGTCGAATGATATATATACGACCAACTCGTATCAGCGCCGTGAAAAGTTTCGGTATCGATGGAGAAAACTGCTATTCCTGTGACCGAGCTAGTTCGCTCGCTGGTCTCTGTGGTTGAAGGTCTTCACGGAAAGTGTTAGACCCCTCGGGAATCCTGAGACCCTGAAAGCGGGAAATCGGGATCACCCTCGAGACCATTGAACGCTAGGCGCCTGGGATAGGTGTTTCAATTTTACCGTTCTCCCGTCAGCGCCATCAAAGTACCTAATTTTCTACCACCTTCGGAACGCTGAGCCTGGCGAAATGCTATCCGCGGAGCACCATCGCAGAACTATCCCTGACTCGGGTCCGAGAACACATGGATGTCATACGCTCTCGTGATCTCAGAGCACCAATAGTATAAGCATTGGCTTCGAATTTTCACGAGAATATCGTCGTCCTAGTGACAGAGTCAAATGTCTCGCTAGACCTGATCCATTGCCAGGGGAGTCCCGCAATCTGAACAATCTCTACAGCTCTGCAGGAAGAAATGTCAGATTCAAGCTGAGCGAAAGCGGTATATCTGATTGCACGAATCACTCTTATAGGGCAGTTCTGCCTCCGAATCTAGATTTGAATTCCATTCCGGATCAAGGAGAGTATTCAGAAAATCACTGTGTTCAGACACGAGCTCAGGATCTCTCGCGTTGAGATTCAGCCTCAATCAATTCATAAAGAGCTGCTTGGTAATCGTTTATTTATAGAATGTGATGCGAGGGATGTCCGACTATTCTGAGTGGGAGCTGGCCAGTGGAGATGGTGTTGCCAGACTGCGGGTCTTCTACCTTTGAGTGAGAGCGGTTCCTTTCGCACCGGCGCCGTTCTCACCCTTAGCATCACTGGGCTTTCGAACGGTCGGCCTTGTCACTTGACCCCTTGACAGCAGCGGACCATTTTTCGACACTGTAATCGAAGAACGGATTGCCCGAGCAGAATCAACCATTAAATTTCTTCCTTCCTTGTACTTCCAGCTGACAACCGAGGGCAGACTCCTCGCCGTGAACAGAGAGAATTTGATTGTCCATAAACATTATCTGTCAACACTGTCAAAATTCTCTCAGATATCCCATGATCGAACTTTGTTCACCTACATCCAGAAGTACGCTCAAGTCGGAGACAACCAACCAGAAGTCAATTTGTGCCACGTCTATCAGGCACCGAACGTGGCCATGGCGAGTCATTTTTAGACTGTCACTTTCTGAGAACCGTGCCCTAGTCAGTCGTAGAACGTTGACGAGAATATCACTAGCATGAGCAGCGCACGACACCAGAATTCCGGATGGTCGCTCTACCCATTTATAATTTCTTTTTTCCTCCTTCTTCAACAGGTAAAAGAATTATTCAGCTCTATTCGGGAGCTCTCCAATCATCTACGTCGGGAAGATCTGCCACGCTGCGTCGCTAATCTCGATTGTGTTGCGTCGTTCGAAGTTCTCTACGTGGGGAAACTGCGGCTCGGTGATCCTCAAACTTCGAGGAATAAAATCGACGAGGGAGTCCGAGTCTGCTCCACTGGACTCATCGACCACAGGAGGGACTCGATCCCCGTGGGTACGAAAAGCGCCTCCTTACCTCGAAACCATCAAATCAGCCTCGATGCCACCGGGAGTCGCTCGATCCTGAGCGCCCTGAAGCAGATCACGCCGAGCGGATTGCTCGATAGGAATTCTCGACCACAGCCACAGAAGATGGAAACTCGGAACCGGACGATGATACTCATCATCGGTAAAGCGCAACTGGTTTTGCTGAGCGCCGATAAGAAACAAGTTTCGTGGAGCAAAAACTTCGGCGAAGTACTCAACTGCGCTGAAGGCAACAACTTCTCGGACCATTTCGCAATTACGTGCGTCGACGCCAGTGAGACGAGCAGCCTTCCGTATGGTCGATTGGTATTCAAGTGCTCGTCACCGGCAATCGCCAGTGAGATCGTTCTGTCGGTGAAGCAATCCAAGGAGAATGTCGCCAAGAAGACGGGTAGGTACGATGACAAGGAATCAACGAGGTCCCTGTCACTCTGGAGTTCTGGAGTGCGAATGGGGCTTCACGCTCTCCTCGATCACGATGAAGAAAAAGAAAAAACGGATCAAGAGTGACGAATGGGTGATGGGATCGGATCGTGGCGGGCAAGTCGGAGAGCCGACTCAACCATCGATGTGCAGCTTGTTAATTTTCTCATTTCTTCTCAGATAACAAACTGGCGACCCACAATTTCGGCTGCGAGGCGTGTCCGATGCTGAAATTCCACAACCTCTGTCTGAGATTGGAGAACATGGATGTTGAAGAATCTTGGCGCCTCATCGAAAATTGGGTCCACAATGTTATCGACGACTCGGATCGAGAAAACGTCTTGGGAAAGATACCATCGGAAGATCTGAATTCACCTCAGCAACGCAACGAAGTATTTATGTACATGCTGCGCGAGCATTTCGAATTCAAGCAGAAAATGCATTTCCATCAGCCCCAAGGTGCCAAGGAAAAGGCGGTTTTGGGACTGTTCAAAGACATCAAGGAAAAAGCTCAGAAAACACTGTCTGCGTCGTTTGAAACTCTTCTGAAGGTGAAGAAATGTCACTCTACAGGGGAGCTTCGTTCGTCTAAATATTCATTTCGGCCATCCAAGAGAAGTGGTTTATCTGGAATTGCAAGTAAGAGATATCGATGATGATTTCAGCCTCAGCGGCAGAATTCGCTCCCCGAACGCACCGTTTCCAACCCGCTCGACAGGACAGGCTCCGGGAGTGCTCTGCCTTTGATAGAGCTGAAGAGCTTCGTCGGCGCATCTTCGAGCGAGGAGAGCGTGGCGGGCAGGAAAGTGTCGACCGAATCTCTCCATCGTTCGAGAGAATACCTCTCTGTGTGAGTTACCCGGCCGAATGATGAGGTGCCTCGACCTCTTGCGGATCGCAGATTCCAATATTGGGATTCGGTTCCAGGGTCGAAGAACTTCCGGAGAAAAACTCCAAGTCTCCTGAGCCGATCGGAGCTCAGCTGAGCCCGGAGAGGAAATCACCGTGCAGAGCCTTGCAGCCTGTTGCTCTCATACCTCCACCACCGCCTCCACCACCTCCTCCACCCAGGAGCTACCCCCACTTCAAGCTACCGACGCCGACATCAATTCCTAATCGTAGGAACATGATCAGGCGTATTTCCAGAAAAACTTCCAGATCGGATCTCCCGTCTGAACTAGCGAGCCGGAAACGAACTTGCGGGGAGCTCAAGGAGCTGTGGCGTAAGGCCATCAAAGAAACCATTATGCTTAACAGAATGGAGCGAGAAAACGAGAAAATCAAGATACAGCAGACAGAAATTGAAAGGTTTGCCGTCGCTCCCCTGAGTCACGCTTTGCAACGTGGATGTGGCGATAAATTTCGAGTGGAAGGAAAGAAATCGATTTCCCGGCATGACTCAAAAGAGTTTTCGCGGGCCTTTCTCTCCGCGAATCGTTCAAAGACTAATTCTCGCCAATCCCCGACTTAGGAAACAAATCTGTCTGGACTACCCCGAAACGGGCGCTCCCAACGAGGCCAGCTGGGAAGCTCTACTGAAGAATCGATTCGAAAATCAGGAGGAACTAATCCTGGTTTTGGTTAGACAAGGGGTGCCGAAATGCCGTAGAGGCGAAATATGGCAGTTATTCAGCAAGATTTACAATCGGTTCCTCTATCGCGGCCCGATCGACCTCGCTTCCCCAATATTCATAGGTGAGAGGAAGGTACTCGAACTCCGCTCGAGGGAAACATCGAAACATTCAGGCTCCCGAGATCCTGTACCCGAAAGAACTCAGTCCATTGCCTCTCTGCAGCCGACTACGCGTCCTTGCTGGAGATGCTCACCGAGAACCAACATCTCATCCTCGTGGACCTGGCCCGGACGTTCCCGAGCCACAAATTCTACAAAGACGGATTCGGGGAGGGACAATTGTCCTTGTTCAATGTCCTAAAAGCTTACTCTATAGTTGATCCAGAAGTTGGCTACTGCCAGGGCTTGGCATTCGTTTCTGGAGTCCTCTTACTTCACGGGACCGAAGAAGAAGCGTTCCACCTCCTGAAGCACTTGATGGTACAGCTCCGGTTCAGACAATTATATTTGCCAAACATGGAGGGTCTGCAGGTTCAATTATACCAGCTTTGGCGCCTCCTCCACGACATCCACAACGACCTGTATACGCATTTCGAGAAATTCGAAATGGAACCGGCGCTCTACGCTACGCCTTGGTTCCTGACCTTGTTCGCCTCCCAATTCCCGCTAGAGCTCGTCGTGCGTGTTTTCGATCTCATATTCATTCAGGTAATCCAACTTCGATACCCGTGGATTTTGTGGGATGTTCGTAATTGGCACGGGGATGCTCCTGAGCTAGATCGAGGATCGAAAACCATGAACTAAAAAAAGCGGGGATCTTGCAGGGTGCAGAAGCCGTCATAAAAGTCGCATTGGCCATATTATGCGTGCACAAAGAAAACTTGATGGAATGCGTCGATTTTGAGGGGCTGTCCGACTACTTGAAATATAAAGTTCCCGTTCTCAACGAGCAGCAGATCCAATCCATTATACAAACGGCATCGCAGTCAAACCTCTCGAGATGCATTCTGGAGTACGACGTAGAGTTTCATCTTATCCAGGAAGAGGTCCTTCACTCCCCCCAGCATTGTCAGGAGAGCGACGGTAAAGATTTTAATGTGAAGAACGATCTCGAGCAACAGATTTCCGCTCTGAGATCGCAGAACCAGCATCTCCAACTCGAGATCCAGAATCTCCAGGAGCAGCTCCAGGTTAATCACAGACTTGCATTCCTCACATTCCGTAGAAACGAGGATTTCGACGTGCTGGAATCGGGAAGACTCAATCCCATGATTGTCTTGCAGGTCGCCCACAGCAAGGGTTTGATGTTGGAGGCTTCCGTTGAAAGCCACAGATCGACCGTGAAAAGATTGGAAGGCTTCATTAGGGGAGTTCGTGACGAGAAGGATGCCTTGATTCATTCAGTGAACGCTCTGCGCAGAAGAATCGGCCATCTGGAAGAAGACGCCAAACAATCTCAAAGAGAAACGCCTCCGTTCTTCACCATACGGCAGGCTTCAAACGAAAGTGATGATGAGAGTAGCGACTTCAGTCATCACGATGGCGTTTGACATCTACGGAGACAACACTGAAGGCTCCCCAGGGGGTGACCTTTATATCCGTCAGAAAATTCCGCGAACCGCAACACACGAGAGGTCATTATCTTTCCGGATGGGGACTATTTTTGAAAATTGTGATTCCGCCGAACTAACTCGCGTGCACAGTCCCTATCTGTAATATAGTCCTATTATTTTTCTCAATAAAGTTTAGTTTATGAGCGTGTCGAAACAGAGACCAATCATTGCAGACTCTTCCCAAGAATCATTCTCTTGAGTTCCTCAACTGTCCGGATCGGAAAAGGGGACTCACCACAAGCCTATTCCGAGCACGAGGCATAAGGGTTTCTTGGAAAAGTCTTAAAAACTATACTTTATTTGGCGAACCTCGGGGACAGAGACTCACGCCGAGAGTAGAGTGAGTCGAAGGTTTTTCCGGAAGAAAAGAACAGAGACTAGAAGAGGTGAAAGATTTGGCTCTCTGATGTGACCATGTCATCCTAGTAGTGACCGTAAGAGGAGCCGTGGCCGTAGACAGGGGCGTGAGCGTAGGCGGCAATGGGGGCGGCAGCGACCTTAGCGAGAACGGGAGCGGCAGCGATGGTCTTCACTGCGATGGGAGCGGCGTTGTAGAGAGCAGCAGCGGGAGCTGAGGGAGCGGTTCCAGGCTCGTTTGTCTTGATAGTTGCACGGAATCCGAGAGCGTCGGCAACGTAGTCTACCTGACGGGCAACACCGCGGGCATCGGTGAAAGAGTAAGATCCCTTCTTGTTGTTGTGGGCGTCGGAGACCTCGTGGCGAGATTGTTTGGTTCCGTACTCATCGACGGAGTCGTATCCGAACTGGTAAGGCTGGGGAGCGTAGGCGATGGCAGCCTTAGCGACAACGGGGGCGGCAGCAGCGTAAGCCAAAGGAGCAGAGAATCCGTATCCACCGTACGCTGGGGCAGCAATGGCACCGGCGTTGGCGGCGGCGATAGCCACGGAAGCGACGACGATCTAGAATGCCGAACGAAACGGGACTTAATTCCGACGAAACGGTGCCGAGTGGGAGCCACGAGACCGATGTTCGTGGAGGTTACCCGCACTGAACCTTCACTCATCGAGTTATCACTCGTACCTTGGCGAACATAGCGGAATCCAGAATAAAAATATTCTGTTGTGACGACTGCTGGTTTACGTACGTTTATATGTGGTCAGTCGGAGTGGTAGATCGGTAGGCGGGTGGGGCTTCATGACTACCGGTTCGGGTCTCACCAAGGTCGAATTCTCGCCTTTCGTTCACTACCACGTTGAACTCACCTCTGATTACAACAACGGAAGTAAAACTGGTAGCACGACAATTCTGTCGATGTCTGCCAGTAATCGCCGGCATCGCTATCATCAATCTCATCGTCATTTATCCGCGGAATCACCGTCAGCTCCGCGTGAGGGATCCGTCTGAGACAGAATATCTACCGAAGACCAACTGACGACGTAACGCGACGTCCCGCGACCCTTGGGGATGCTCATCGCTTGCAACCGGATCGCATAATGAAAACAATAGGATCAATCGTGTAAAGGAAACCAATTGTAGTCGGTTTACGTAACCTGCGTGTGATGATTAGCTTGAGACGGTGGGACTAGCTCAACAATGCTGCAGAGAAAGCTCTGGGGTCGCATGAGAGCGTAGGCCGCTGGTCAGGGCGATTGAGAGTCGCTCGTTATGTGTATAGCCACTTATCGTGGCGTCTTCAGGGGTTGGTTCAAGTCCAAAACAAAAGCGGGGAGGCACTTAATTTTCACGTGATCTTCAAGGCTCCTCGTTTCCAAGATTCAGATCTACCCGAAGAAGCACTCAATTAACAGAAGCAAAGTGGTTTTGTTGCGGTGAGCTTATCTTCGTTCATGACCAATTCCATTCCAGATTCCGCTTTTCTCTCACTCGGACCCGACAGTCCCGCCTGCCGATGACCTCTGCTGCTATCGGATGCCCGGAATTCCCCGCGATGAGGCGTCCATCTTTGCAGTTCGGTCGAGCGCCACAAGATTCAGCCGATTCTCCAATGATGATGGTCATCATCGTGATGTTCATTTTAGAGAACATCTAACGACATTTGGAGACTCTTCTCACTTATCCGGTGATGCATCCACTCGTTGGGAGGATGTTGTCTGTCTACCACTCCCGAGCAGAGTCTACAGACGTCAGTAGGTTCCCTTGTGCATTCCTTGACGCTGCCATTCTCTGTCCCTTCAATCTCTCCGATCCAGCGAAGCCATAGACCTGATCACTTCGGAAGTTTGCTTTATCCCTCGATCACGATAATCACGGGGATCCAAACCCGGATAAAGGGGTCTGCTCGGAGATCACCGTGGATGCTCTCTATTCGCCCTGAGTATTTCATAATATGATTTGATTTCTCGCAAGGCAATGAAGTCCCGGGGGGTACAGGAAAAAGGTTTCGTTTTAATTCAATCACAGCATTCAGAAGCAGAAGGGGAAAAATAAATACAGACAATCCTATAACTTTGGGATATAGACTAGATGAGAGATTTAGTAGTGTCCGTAGGCGTGACCATAAGCGGGAGCGTGGGCGTAGGCCGCGATGGGAGCAGCAGCTACCTTAGCGAGGACCGGAGCAGCGGCAATGGTCTTGACAGCGATGGGGGCAGCGTTGTAGAGAGCAGCAGCGGGAGCAGAAGGAGCGGTTCCAGGCTCGTTGGTCTTGATGGTGGCACGGAAACCGAGAGCGTCGGCGACGTAGTCGACCTGACGGGCAACACCACGGGCATCGGTGAAAGAGTAAGATCCCTTCTTGTTGTTGTGGGCGTCAGAGACCTCGTGGCGGGATTGTTTGGTTCCGTACTCGTCGACGGAGTCGTAACCGAACTGGTAGGGCTGGGGAGGGTAGGCGATGGCGGCTTTGGCTACAACGGGGGCGGCGGCGGCATAGGCCAGAGGGGCGGCATGAGCCGAGGCGTATCCGTAAGCGGGAGCGGCCAAGGCAGGGGCGGCAAGACCGTATCCTCCGTAAGCCGGAGCGGCGATGGCACCAGCATGGGCGGCGACAGCCACAGAGGCGGCGACGACGAGCTGTAATTTCGTGGGGATGGTGATAATGTGGGCCCACAGTGGAGACTCCGTCCGTACAAATATTCTCCCCAGGGCACCAGCTGCTGATCTCAGCGAACTCGGCCTACCTTGAACATGTTGTTGTTGTAGAAGTGAGTGTTAGACAACAGTGAATGGACACTGGCCTACGAGCGGAATTTATAGTGACCGAAAAGAAAGGGCGGTTCCTCAATGTCAAGGAAAGACGCGGCAACTCGCTCGCCAGGCGGGTGGACAGGCGGGCAAGCGGGCGAGCTGGATGGATTGCCGGTCGGTCGACCATTCGCTCGGTCGAAGAACGAAGAAGGGCCTCAAAGACGAGCTTCGACCGTAAATCGCGATCGACCTAACCGCAGCTGTTTCTGTAACTATTCCAATCCTTCTGCGCGGCTAGAAACGCTTCCAAGGGTGTCAACCGCATTGATTGGTCGGTGATAGCTTGGGCAGGCGTCGCTTCGGTGTGCTAAGGAGTCTGGAACGGAACTTGGGATGAGGTGTTGGAACCGGAAATACTGTACAGTCAGGAGGTGGAATCTTCATTCTTCGGACATGACGGGTCCTAATCTAACGGTTTCCCTATTTTTTCGAGTGCCGCCGCTACCTCTCGGTCTAGATGAGGATCTCACAGTGCCGGGAATATCTGTGGATAACAAGGCCGTCCCGACTTCCTGGATCGAATTCAGTGTCTCGGTGATCGATAAGGACGAAGCCTTTTCTGCAGCCTCGAGTCTTCCGATGCTCCTGCGAACTTCGACTCTACATTCTGACGACTGTAACCACCCCTCTCAATCTCCCTTTGTTTCTTCTCTTGTAATTTCTCTCGGACGTGATCAATCAATCCCAAGTCAGATTCGACTCCCCACCCATAGCGCCATGGAGGACATCCCTTTCCATTCCGAAATCCAGTAATGAGACAATATCATTCGTTTCGCGGCAGCTCTCAAAGAAGAGCCGAGCGACCATCGCAGCGGAGAGTCTAACTAGAAATCATCCCTTCTCAACAAAGGAAAATCGAGATCGACTTCGATTTCGACTGCTCATAATTTATTCGGGTTGTCCAAGACAGTGGAAGGGAATTCTCGTCAGCCAGAAGAAGGACAGGGGAGTTCAATAAATTAAAAAGGTACATTCGATTCCCGACCGAATTCCTCCTCTGAAGAGGGATACTCTGCGAATGAGTCTATCTCCACGCTGGAGTCGGTTTCGCGAAGCGGGTCCACGACGGTGCAGCGGTTTCTTGCCTCGGTGCGCTGCTCTCGGTTATCATCGAGCCCCCCGAGAAAGGTCCAACGTTTTTGTATCCAGTATCTTTATCCGACTCGACCTCTTCGCGTTCCAGTAGCTCAAAGTTGCGTCCTTTCTGTGAGGCAACGGACGATTCTCAGACGAGCGCGTTTCAGATAGACGGAGACAGTGTTTAATTCCATCAGAAAAAAAATGCCATCAGGCTATTATGCCTCTGTTATATGCGAGCCATACCGTTTCGAGACGGCGAGCAGCCGTTGTGTTATTGTTGCTGATGAAGAGCGCCGTTTTCACGGTTTGTTCGTGACTGCTCTTTCTAAAGGTGAGCGCTTCCGGAACAGGGTCAGTGGTCTGTGTTGAAGTCGTTGTAGGAGCCGCGGCAGCCAGTGTTGTCGCCGTTGTGGAATTCTTGCACTTTAGCTGCCTGTATTCCATGTGAAAGCCTCGGCCTTCCCCGTACGTATCGGACTGAAGCATGAGTTTAATTTCGGGATGACGAGTCGCGGGGAAGTCCAAGATGCCTGAAAACGAATTCAAAAATTTACGGTTCCGTTCCTCGTTGTTCGCTCGACATCATGACATCGGATTTTGGAAACTTCGATGAAGTCGCTCGTTGGATCTTTTGTTGAAGCTGCTTGCAACGGATGAGCTGACCTTCTAAGGGAGCAAGCGTTCGGTGGAACTCACTTGATTTTTTCTTGAGGTCGTTCGAACAGTAGCGAGATCCTTCGAGGGTTATCATGTCTTTTTGACAATTGGGTGAGCTTTCCAAGTCGAAATCATGCCAATACATCTCAACCTGACAATAACCATCGACAGGCTCGATCCTGTAAGAGCAGCGCGCATTCCCCCCGTACGGACTGGGGTAGTTCGGTGACGCGAACTGACCGTGGGCTTCGCGTTGGCAATAATCGCAAAGCGGACTCGGGGGTAGAGGAGCCTCTTTTCCGACTGAAAATGGTCGGAGATCAACGTTAGGTGAGACCATCGTATCACGCGGCGGAACAGCGCCGCTCCGTGCAGTGGTCAAAACCACGGTCGATGAGAAAAGCGTAATATCTCCAATCTCCGCGGCGGCGGCGGCGTCGTCACGGAGAGAGCCTTTCCGGGAACCGTACTTCGTGCGTGCGCCCAATCGATATTCCCTTTTCTGGTTAATCGACTCAGTGGATAAGATGGGTCTTGTCCAATAAAATACCACCAGGTGTTGTTTTCGCGGTCGGAAGGAATGCCACCGGGTTGGGGATCACCACTCTCCGTCAGACCAGTGTGCTACCCACGAAAATTGAGCCACAGAAGAACTATTGTGTAAAGCGGACACAGGCCAAAAGGATCAGGGACATTCAGGGAGCGGGAGCGGGTATTCACAAAGAGACGTGAAACTTACGTGAACTTCTCTTCAAACATTTCCGCATCTTTTGAGTTTGTCGGCCTGAATTTCTAAGCTTGGAACAACGGTGATATTTCATTGTACATGACCCGTGGACTCGAGTAGCCTTTCGTCGTCTACGAAGTATTTCCTATATACAGCTCCATTCTCGGTGGGAAATTTGGCGCCAATCGCCTCGGAATCTATCGCCTATCTGTCTCGTTTTGGGAATGTTCATCGGAGCTCGAAGTGTGCGTGAACACGGATGGGCGGGTGTCGTTGTCTTTTTTTTTCTTTTCGTTTTCGAGGATCTACTACTTGAGGTAGACGAGCTCTGTGTAGTCGCAGTATGGGTACATACAAGGCCGATCCTGAGCGGCGCAGTCCGTAACTTGTCGGACGCGTAGTGAGAAACCGCGATGCGAAATGGCAGTGCGGTCCGCATGGAAGGTGATAACCTTCTCTGATTGCGGCTCGTTGAAGTTGATCTTCTGGATCTGTCTCGACGGCATGTTGCATAGCCGCTGTCCCTCGATCTCCAGGTAGGCCGAGCTACAACTCCCAGACGGTTCGAGATCCATCAGGTCGTAGTAGAGTTCAATGGCACACGTGGCCGAGTCGTACCGTCGGACGGTGTATTTGCAGTCTCCACCTGAAAGTGGGCAGGTATGTCCTGGATGAAGCATGTGTGGCAGAATCCCGAATCTCCGGGGGCTCAGTGTTTGTGCACAAATAAATTCCTAGAATCTGATCTCACCTGAGTAGGGACTCGGGAAGCCAGGCGAGGTTATTTTGAATTCGAGCCCTGAGAAAGTAGCGTCGCAATTCGGATGCCGTTGATTCTGTCCATCGAACGGTCGACTTCCGGGTCGATCGAATGAGGGGTTCGACGGCCTGGACATCGGTCGATCAAACGGGCGATCGTATGGACGATCGAACGGATCACGCATCGGCTTATCGTAGGGGGGTTGGGGGGACGGCTTGTGATAGCTTGGCCGATCCGATTCGGGATAACCGGGCCTTCGGTGGGGATGATATGGATCCGATCTGTCCTGATTCGGATAGGAACCGGTCGGAATCCCCGAGCAAGGACTCTGACGGCCTCGTATGGCGAAATCGCTCGCTTTGACACCCGATGACGAGTGGAAGTACAAGTACAACGGTCTGGAGTAGTCATGGAACTTATATTGGCGGATCGTATTCGGTGCTATTGTCCCACACAACTGATGGTCGTCGATACGCATCTGATCGTAATCGCAGTCGATTTGGAAGCGAACGAATAGAATCTCGAGACACATTCCATTTTCGCGGTTCTGCTGGTAGATCGTGAACCTACAATGAAGGTTACATATTTGATTTCGCGAATGGATTCACAGGAGAGAACCTTCCAGTCGGATTTCCCCTATCGTAGGGTGGACAGGAAGGTTGCGAGAAGGTATCATACCTGCAGTCGATGTGGTTCCCGAGGAACTCGTTCGATTTTATTTCGAAATAAGGCTCGTGAATCATTTGATCGCATTGACCTTTGCCCGGAAGTGTGGGTCCAGCTCCATGAGGACCGTGGGGACCGTGACCACTCATGCCGTGAGAGGAATCGCCACCTTGGGGATAGGAACCTGAACTCCCGTTAGACCTCTGAGAAAGATAGTCGACTATCCGACACTTGTTCCCGGAGCCATTCGAAATCGCCCTACACAGACAACGGCGGAAACGGAACCAGAAGCGCGACTGTCACCAGCGAACCCCAAGCAGCATGCGGCCAAACCGTTCACCAGAAAGCCGCACTCACCAGGCCTCGAGGGATAATACCTCTGGCCGTCAGGATAATAATCAGGTCTAAATGGAGGTCTATACATGTCACGACGAGGCACATCGAGATAGTTTGTCGTCGGGGGACGCTGCGGCGAACCGAAGCGTCCAAAGCCTCCCACATATCCACCTGATGTAGGATAATTTCGCGGTAATTCAAATCGATATGTCGGAGCCTGAATGAAGCTCCCCGTAAACAAAATGGTGAACAGAGACAGAAGCTCACCTGCTCCGTAATGAACTCGATGAGTCTGCGGGGGGAACGGCAGAGAACCCCGATCGGGCGTCTGCGGTGGAGGGAGTGGACCGATCGGATCGGTCCGAGTGAACGTCGGCGGATACTCGGGTATCCGTTCTCCGCCCGTATGGAGATGGGGATCACTTCCGCAAGGGATCTGACGCACGCTGAGAACGAAACCCTGTCTGCTGCCCTGTGGAGCTCCGTCGTTCGAGTGGAATGTGAAGCCAGTTTGGAAGTCCTTCAGCGGTACGATGCGCACCGTACCTTCAAGTTCAGAACAATCTTAGTCATCGATTCCTGCTCTCTGCGATAGAGGGCTTCGAGAAGCCCGCGGACCTAGTCCCGAGCGTACCTGTCGCCACGTGACCGCAGATTTTTTCCCCGTCGATCTCCAGGAAGTCGAAGAAACAGCCCGGTGACTCGGAGATGTCGAACTTTTGGAAAGACACCGCCAGCGAGCACACATCGGGTGAGGCACGGCGGACAAAGTATTTACAGTCCAGTCCCCCCGGATAGGGTCCAGGATACCCAGGTGATTCGATGTTGAAATCCGCGAGAGCGTAGAGTTTATCGCACGTCGGTTGACGCTTCTCCCCGAGATGATTCGCAGGCTGATGGGATCTCGTTGTGTCCGGAAGAGGTTCACCGTGGATCACAGGACGTCCCGGACCTCCATCGGGGCCGTGACCGCGGCACGGAAGCTGCCGATAGAAACCGAGGAATCCCTTCCCGTGCGCCTCCTCATCGGTGAAGAACTTCATCTCGACAATCGGTGGGTGACCGTCGAACTCAAGAGTTCCTGTTGAATAAGAGCTCGTTCTCAATATTGGAAAATTTGAATTCGTCCTCTTATCCGCGATTCCGGACGACTTTGGGTAGACGGAACTCACTGATCTGGCCCTCCAGTTGCCGGTGGCAGTATTTTATGCCGTTCAGTTCCATGTAGTCGTGGTCGCAGGTTTCGGAGGGATGAATCGCCCCGTTCTCATCCAATCTGAACTGCACGAAGTTCAACTCGACTTGACAGTGACCCGGTTTTGCGCTGATCTTATATCTGCAGCTCATGCGATTGGGATAGGGGCCGGGGAAATTTTGGGAGTAGAAAACACCGGAGTGGTCGCTGAACTCGTATCGGCAGGGTCCAGAGCCGTGATCCAGGAAGTGTTCTCTGTGAAGTTCTCGCATAAGAATCGAAACTACCCAGAGGGAATCAGAATCCTGTTTTCGATTATTCGGGTCACTAGCTCACCCCCGCCATGTTGGTGGCCCGTTCCCCCATGGGATTGGTCGATCGGGTCGGGACTACCCCAATCCTTCGTCGGCTTCCAATTGATTGTCTCGACGGCCTTCTCCGGCCCGAAGTCTTGTGCGGGTCTGTCGATGACACTTGAGGGACATTCGACCTGCTTGACTTTGATGTGGAATCCAGGTCGACTCGAAACGGGATCGGTGCGCAATCGAACAATTTTCTGAGCGCTTCTGAACGGAACGACCTGCGCGGAGGGGAACGGATGACGTCGCGATTGCGATCTGAGAATTCAGAGCAGCGAAGAGAGATAGCTTAATACGTCCCCGGACTCACTCACTTTTTTCGTGTCTGCGAGCAAGTTCCCGCAGAATCTTTCGCCCTCAATTTCCAGATAATCGGTCTGACAATCGGATTCCATATCGAAATCGATGAAGGTGAATTCGAGTCTGCAAACATTGCTGTTCGCTTGGAAAATGATGTATTTGCAGTCGAGGTTGCCAGGATAGCCGCTCGGGTAGTCGACGCTCCGGATATCGAAGAGCTTCGACGTGAAGACTTTGTCGCATTTTCTCGGTATGACATTGGACACGACCGGCGAATCTGCAAAATCCTCTGGTCAAGAGGAGAAAGAAACCGTTCGTGACAGAAAAGACAAGAAAGCTACGGCCACTGTCACCACCGACTTCTGGACACGCGGATAGAAAGAGAGAAAACGAAGAAACAACGAGATGAGCAAGAGAGAGAGAGCACGAACCGAACGCTCCGGAACCTTCCTCCTCTTGTTTTCCGCAGTCGATCTGTCGCATCTTGATGTGGAAACCAGGTCGCGAATTCGCCGCATCGCTATGGAACTTGAGGACTTTCTCAGGTTCGTCGAACTCGTAGATGCCGCTCGTGTTCTGAGTGAACACACCGCACAATTTCTCGCTGCCTACTTGCAGGTAATCGTATTCGCAATCGGTCGACGACTCGACATCAAACTTCTGGAAGACGAGTTCCAGACGGCAAACAGAAGCGGCGGCCTTCCGGATCGTGTAACTGTAACATGAGAAGCGACGTCGGAGCGGCGTTTGTCAGCAGCTGCAGCGGCAAGAGCTAGCTGGATATTAGCGGCATCGGAGCAGAAGCTCACTCGAGCGAAACGGAGCGAACAAAGACACTTACGCGCAGTTAAGGTTGTTATCGTAGGAATTGGGGTATCCGACAGATGTGATGACAGCGTCCCGAGTCGAATAGACGCGGTCACACTGCACAGGCTCTTCGCCGCCCTCTCCGGCGGCGGCAGCAGTGGGAGTATCGCATTCGACTTGTTTCACCAGAAGACGGAAGCCGCGGTCGGTCGTTTTGTCGTTCGAGTGGAACTCGATCTTCTTCGAATCTTCTTTCATGTCGAATATACCTGGGACGATGTTGGCAACTCTTATTCACACACAATTCTGCCGTAAGACACATCCGCGCTCAATTAGCCCTCAATCGAAGTCGCTCTACTCACGTATGGTCCCAGGAACCACCGACCCACAGACCCGTAGATCGTCGATAGATAAATTATCACCCTGACAAGCATCTGACGGCGGCAGAGAAAAATCAGCGAAAGTCACTTGAAGACGGCACACTTTCGGGTTGTTCTTCTGAATGGTGTAGGCACAATTCTGGTTGCTGGCTGATAATCGAGGAAATGAAACGAGGTAAGCTGGGAACGAACTTTCATGTTTCGATTTTCCACCGAGAAAATCAATCTCCCGAGCGACCCGTACTCACCGTACGCTTCGGGATATCCGGGACTATCGATTTCGAAAGTTAGTGCGCGGAAAGGGGTTTCGTTGTTGCAGGTAGGGCCGTCAAGTTTTCTGCCGGTGGGGCCTGTTCCGATTCTTCTGGAGCCGCAACTTAGTTGTCTGGCTCGGATTGAAAATCCTTTGTTCGGGTTCGAATCATCACTGTGGAACCGGACGACTTTATCCCCTTCGACAAAAGGTATCAGATCTGCAGAGGACGAAAAAATTGTAATCCGATCTCGAAGAGCCGACCTACAGGGCTCAGGCTTCACCCTTATATCATTTTCGGTGGAGGCAATGGCGAACGTTCCTCCGCTCTTCTCCCGACTCGCGCCCCCGGGAGCAACCCATAAACTCACGCATATGATCCGTCGGCAGACTTCCACAGTGTCGTTCACCGGCGATTTCGAGGAAGTCCTTTGAACAATCCCTCGAATCCTCGAGATCGAATGACGTGTACGTAAGCTCTAAGTAACACGTATCCGGGCTGGCTTTCACAACGGTGTATTTGCATTCGGTGTTGTCGAGATAGTTGTCAGGAAATCTCGGTGACTGGATTGTGAATTCTTTCGACATGAAAGTTTGCGCGCAGCGGTGCACCTTCGGCGTCGGCTGATTCGACAGAGAGGTGCAGGCGAGCTGTTGGAATCTCAGGTGGAATCCCCTGCCTGAGTTCTGGCCGTCGGATCGAAAGACAAGTTCGACGTTGCCTTCGTTGTTGTATTCGAGAATTCCTGGAAGCGAGAGAAGAAATATCTTTTCGGACCATCACGTGCAGCGCTCGGATTCAAGAACACCAGTCCATTATCACGAATCACTTACGGGATTGACCGTGAAGCTCTGTCCCACAAACGCGTTGTTCGTCGATTAGAAGGAAATCTTTGTCGCAGCTGGAGCTTTCCTCCACATCGAAGTCTTTGAAGAATACTTTCACCGAGCAAAACATGTCCGAGGGTCGGGAAATCGTCATTTTGCATAGCAGGTTGTTCCTGTCCCCGGAAGAGTGAGATTAGAAAACACGAAAGCGATCCATCAGACTTCCATACAGGGGTGTTGGTAGAATATACGGTGCAAACCTGTAATATTGGCTGACGGCGTAGCCGTACGATGTCAGATCATCGGAGAGACGCTCGGTGCAGATATCGCATAAGGGCGGTGGGGCGAGCGGGCAATCATTGGTCTGTCGAGCTCGGATTTTCCCGCGTCCAGGGCTGCCTTTTGTCGAGACGACCATCATCTCCCCATCGAATGGCACTGTTTTCGAATAGCACAACTTGTCGCGACCCCCGTCAACGCTCAGGAAGTCTTTTTCGCAATTCATGCCGATGTTCGCCACGCTGCCGAACCATCACAGATTAGTCTTCCGAATGGGACAGTGATTATCATACTGGGTCCAGGCATGCATTCGGTGCCGCCACCAGAATCGTCGGCAGCCTATTCAATTTTACGGCACTCATTCTTCCTGAGCTCACCGGAACTGCACGCCGCAAATGCCGCTGAGCGGCGCTTTTCGGATGTAATACGTGCAATCGTTGTCGGTATTCATCACGAACTCCTTGTCTCTGAAAACTTCCTCGCACTCGGGGTTCTGGAGCGATCTGCCCCCAGACCCCGTTCGGCCATCTGCGCATGACACGGGTTCCGCTTCGATCCAGAATCCTCGCCCGGATCCGGAGTTATCGGTGACGAAGTTGAGCCGGATCTCATCTCGCTTATAGAACTGTACAACTTCTGAAGAAACGAAAAACCAGCGTTCCTCGTTAGAGTAACTCTGAACGTTCTCTTTTTATTTCAAGTGTGAAAATGTGAATCGATGCCCTGACTCACTTGTGTTCCCCCTCCAGCTGTCTCCACAGTAATTGACTCCGTCCACGATGAGCTTATCTTTGTAGCACTGGCTTGATTGCTCAACATCGAAGTCATGGAACAGCAAGCGGACGGCGCATATATTCTTATGAGCCTTCTTTATGCGGAACGTACAATCATGGTTTGTGGGATACTTTAGGGGGTAGTTGTTGCTCGTGAGGTTTCCCACCCCCTCGTCAAGACAATAGTCGCACACTCCCTGGGGTATATAGCGACTCGGTACTGAAAGAAGAGAACTCTATTTTATACATCATGCTCAGTTTTCACGGGACTCGGCTCTTCATGCGAGATCTCTTGCGCGATCGACTCCGAAGAAAGTCCTCGAACGAGGCGAGTTCTTTATCTGTGGCCCCTGCTCCTTGATCATCGCGGAGTCCCAACTCTGAGTTGGGGTGACGGGAAGCGGCACTCTAAAGTCGTGAGTCTTGTCACTGGGAGCTCTCGCGTTGCAAGTCACGGTGAATGATACCGTTCGTAAAAGTGGTTTCGTTATCTTGTCTGCGGATTTATTCTGTGGATCTATTTTTTGTCGAACTCGGCCTTGATAAATTTCGTCGGCCTTTTGCATAGAATTAATGATTTCCGTAAAAGTAACCCACGTCTGGTACCACTCGTGTTCGGGCCGTTGGTTCTGGAAGCTCGGCACCATGCATCATTTCATCAAGAGTATCCGATCAGAAGATGCTTATACGGCGCAATACTCCGCTCTAATGTGTTCCGGACGCCGGTGTCGGACGGAAGCGGTTCTAGGGTAGCTCGTTGGCCCTCTAAATCGGGAAGAAGAATCCGGGCTGTATCAATGGATTTCGATTGAGTCAAGTGTCACATTGCGCTGACTCCATTGTTTCCCCACGATTGTGGACGTCGCAAATCCCCTAATTCAAAATGAAGCCGGAAAGATTTTCGAAACTAAATCTAGCTGCAGTGTGGCTCGGTATTCGGAGCTCGGTCTCGATCGCGATTGCCTGCTTCGAGTTTCGCTGCTGTGCTCTGGGGGAGCTGCTGGAGAAACCGAGAGATTTCCCGGTGAGAATTCGAAGCGCTCTGCGTTCCGCAAAAGCAGCGTTCTCTGGCGGATATTCGAATCACCGCTCTCGGAGGACGGAAAACGTGATATTGGATAGCCGGAGCGAGATAGAGATGAGCGTATTCAAGTCGTAGGTGGGTAATTCGAATCAGCCGTGCAATTGTCTGTCTGGAACACCGAGCACGATGCTCAAGTCGAGCAAATGGAGTGAAGTTGTCCGGGCGATGAACGCTACGCGGGCGAAGGACTGAATGAATGAAGTCCATTGAATTTTGTCTCTCAGGACTAAGCAGGCGGAAGTGACAAAGCGTCAATCCGATACAATGTGTAGCATGCAGCGCTTTCGGGCGGACGGCTGACTTTCAGGGTTGCACCGTCATTCCACCCGAGCGCTAAACCATTTGCTGCGAGTGCCATGGGAACGAGTTTCACTCTTCTTTCTGATCCGCGGACGATTACAAAGAAATTCGATGATGACTTTCTTCTCCCATTGAAAGGCGAGCTTCAGACTGATCAGCGCCAGGCGCCAGAGCTTCAGAGTGAGGCGCGACTCTCCGTTTTCTGTGCGTTCGGGACACCAGAGGATGTCATGTCGAACGACACTCCGGGAGAGACGTGCTCGTGCAGACGAGTCTACGCGCTTGACGTAAACACGAAAATTACCAATATTTGCCTCCCTCTCAGTTTGTATCGAATGTCACGTTCGCTGCCGATTCCTCTAGCCGTGGCTCTCTGACGGAAGGTGACGGTATAAATCCGCAACACGGATGTCTAAGCTCGAATCGCGACGCTGTCCTCCTTACCGAACAGCTGGTGACCTCTATCGAGAGCAGAATCTGTTTCTCTCCGTCTGTCGGTCGGTCGGTCGGTCAATCAGTCAGTCAGCCGCCCGTTCGTCCATCCGCCCGCCTGCCTGCCGTTGTTGTCGTCAAGCCGAGTGTGGCCGCGCGCCGCCGAACGAAGAAGCAAGCTAAGCGCCTGCGTTGCTGCAAGCATCGTCGTCGTCCAATCGTTTTAAGTCGTCGAGAGTCGAGAGCTGTCATCGCACTGCTCGACTCGAGAGCTTCTCTACGATACCAGCAGCGAGTCAAGAGTGAAGCGGCGGAGTGTCGTTTGGCTGCCCATTTTCAACGGAATCACGAGCGTTCGGCGTTCGATCATTGGTCAGTGAAGCCCCGCGTCTCCAGCGAATCCGGATCCGTGAATTAGAGGGCCACCGCCGTCATCAGTTATGGACATCTTGCAAGTCGGAATTTTCGCACTGCAGAGCGGTTTTTTTGTGTGCACTGCCGTTTTCGTTTTCATGATGGCAGCTCGGGGCCACGTCCAATCGGAGTGGTATCTTGATGGTCCTCGCGCCAAACCGAGAAAGATTCGCACAGAAGACTAGTGATCGCTCAGTTGACCGAAGTTCGCGCGCGACAGAAGGCAGCCAGCTTTCGGCAAATCGCTGAGCACCGGCGAATGTCTCGACAGGTCGCGGCATCGTCGAGCGCTTTTCGACGCTCTGCAAGACGCCACCAGCGCGTGGGGACCGCAGCACCGATGCGGAAGACGCTCAATGGACTGGTATTCTCTTTATGAACTTGTGAGGGATCATATTCGTTATTCATATTGTGTATATACGAACGATGTCGCCTGTCGAGCTGTACACATAGCGGGCGGAACACTTAACGCCGTGCGTCAAGAATGTTCACCCCTAACGGAACATTTCTCAGTTTGCGGCGATTGAAACAGCTCGACTCGCCAAACTCTCAATCAGTGTTACTGTGCACCCAAGGCTGTGTTCCGCAGGAATCCCGCCGATTTTTCAATCCAGACGAAGACGGCGGGAGTGGCTAGAATCATTCCCTCTCATTCCCTCAATGTGATAATTGATGATAAACCGAAAGTTGTGATAGGACTTGCGAGCAGGTCACATTTACAAACGTTTGAATTGACTTTTCCAGACGTGTAGTTTTCCGACCTATTTCAAGAACGGACATATCTTATTCTGTAAATATGCATTTTTCTACACCAAAATGCTTTTGTGAATAAATCGATATACATACAGCGCCCTAGGGAATATTTCCACCGATTCAGCTGACTGAGATTAGATTTTCCCTCCGAGAAAAAGCGTGTTCCAAGCCACGAGCCTGATAAGACAGAGCAGACCTCGATTCGGATCTATCGAGAGCAAATTCGTTCGATCGGGATGGGTCAAGATTGTCTCTTCAGCTTTTTCGCTCTTCTCCATGCCTCGAATTGCCTACAGGACAGTTTCTGTCAATGACGACCCTGCGGCGTTCGCCCAGTGAGCGAAAGAGGCCGGGAGTCACGGACCGCCTGCGTTATCGATCAATGATTCTGGAGGGAGAAAAAAGATTTCGAATCATCGAGGCTTATCACTCCGGAGTTCGAACGCACGCCGAGAGTCTCTTCCATTCTCAGTGTCTCTGCTCCTGTTCCGGTGAGCCAACAAAATGGTGCGAGGAGAGGGGTCCGACAAAGGTTTCGGGAACGTCGACTCAATTACTCTGCGGTCGGTCGTGAAGTCGGTGTCCGACGCGCGATGAGTGTGGAGGGGAAACACGGCGATTGTTCCTATTTACAACAGCGTTCATCAGTCGCCCCAGTATGCCCATAGAACGGACGAACAAAACACGTCCGACTCGGGCAATCACAGACGATGACAGCAAAACGCGCAGACACCAGCTGAACCAGCGCGGAAACCACGCACCCAAACTCAATGAGGGAAGCGGTGGAATGAACGCTTACGTAAGCCTTTATGGAATCCGTGCCGATTCTGTCAGCGGTACTTGCCGCTGTTCTTCTGCTACTCGTGAATCGAGCGCTGACTTTGCAGCCCGTGCATTCAGTGCAGACTTCGCGTGGAAAGCCGATTGCATACAACCATCGCATATCGGAATTTTTCCTCACTAAAATAGCGCTGCTTCATTACCGAGCGTCGGCGCGACGCGGTGTACGCAGGGAATGCGAGAGGGAGCCAAAAGCTGTCACACGCGGGGTCGTTCGGCTTTATCACTGACGAAGGAATGAATCGATCGCGTCTGATGATTGGCTACGACACTCTTCGGCGATCGGGAGGCGGGCGAGAAAGAGCGCTTCCATTAATGCGTACCGGGAGAAAAGCTATATAGCTTCTATTCGGCCCAGACGACTCTTAATGCGTCTATCAGAGAACTCCCACCGAAAATCTGTCGATCTTTGTCAGCCGATCCCTCGCGTTGTCACACGTGCAAAACGACGTTGGCAGTGACTGAATGAACTTCAGCCGTAGCAGCGGCAAAAACACCACGGTACTTGAGCGCGCAGGTGGATCATAGTATCGGTCTGTCGGTGACACGAGCGTCACACATGAGCCCGGTGAAATAAATTTTGGACCCGCTCTCTATTCCTTCACCGAGACTTTCGATGCTGGAACCCATAGCTTCGATTATTATCATGGATGCTTAATCGGGAATCATCATTGCGGGGGTCCGGACGGTCCTTCCGTGACGTAATACGAGGTCGGGATCTTCTAGTAATCTCGAGTATATCCCCAAAGAGGAAAATGAGGGCGTCATCCCGAGGGATTTCAAGCAGCGGCGTGATGATAGGTCAATGGATCGAGAACAGAACTCGCCCAATGAATCGCCGGATGGCTAATCGCGGGTTTCTCAACTTCGATCAAAGCTCGACGGAGGGTCCCTCAGGACTGAGTTGACGGATATCAGATTTCCTTTAGTTCGGAACGAGCCTCGACCGCATTCCAGAGGCATCTGAGGAGCCTCCGGGGCTCTCTAATCGAGGAGCGGGGAAATGGGAATCATGGGGTGGGAAACGGCTCGAGTTCATCTCTCTTCCCAGAGAGGATCTTTCACTCGGAGTTCAGTACCGGTATGCCGGGATGGAACGACGCACTCAATGAGCTTTTTACTCACTCAGATACGAATCAAAGAGAAACTTCTGTTGAAAACGATTGGCTATACAATAGACGCCGTGCGGAACGAACGATGCTGTCTAGTTGACTTGAAGCGCGAATAAAGACTGTAACGTGCGTGATATTTTCTATTCTTTGTGTCTGAAGGTTTCGCCGACGATCGACGGGCATTGCCGTAGCACAATGCATACATTCTTATGGAGAGCGGACAAAAAACGGACCGGACCAGCGCAGCGCCAGTGCAAGGAACAGAATGAAGAGTCAATCCATTGC